TAAAGCCGTGCGGTTTTCCGGGGAGGGCTGGGGAAGGGGCGGTTTGTCACGCTCAAGATGGAGGGGTAGTGCCCGGGCGGTGCTGAGGTGAGATGCCCTCAGCCAGGGCACAAAGTCCAGGCCGCGCTCTCCAGCCCTTGCACGCTGCTGAGGTGGCAGGCCCCCCCCCTGTGGCCCCCGCGCCCAGGTGCCCCCTCAGAGGCAGCGAGGAGCTGCGTGGGGCTGAACGTGGTGGGTGTCTGTCCAGCCACCAAGCAGAGACTCGTGTGTGGTGGGGAAGGTGGCCATGGCGGGCAGTGAGGCGGCGGGCAGGCCTGCTCCCACCTGCGTGCTGGGCATCGACCTGGGCACCACGTCGGTTAAGGCGGCCCTGTTGGCAGGGGCAGAGCAAGGGCAGGTGGTGGCAGAGAGCTCCAGGGAGACGCGGGCACACACCAGTAGCCTGGAAGCTGGACCGCAGGTAAGGGGTGCCAGATAGCACTGCTGGGAATTTCACGATACATTGCAGCTGGGTTGTATTGCTGCACTTTTCAGGCTTCAGTGGCTTTCCTGGATTGTTTTTGTGCCTAGAATGATGGAGACAATTGCTGCGTGTGTCTGGAGGTCTGAAAGCAGAATTAAAACACTCTCTGTTTACTGTTCAAGAAAGTCAAGTAAAGCTGCTTGTTTGGAGAAAGACCTAGATTTTGAAAAGTTGCATGAGACAATCTAAAAGTATTCTCCCATGAACCATCACCTTGTCTTTGATGTTGCCAGTCAGGAAACAGCAGTCACTGGAAGGGTATTTTGCACTTTAATGTGAGATGGAATCACAACTGGAAATCCCCCGTGGAAATAACCGAGAACATGTACTTTTGTTGAAGATCTTTACATCCATTTTATTGGTCAATCTAAGAAAGGATGAATCAGAATCATAAAAAATATGTATCAACTTTCCTCTGGCCTAGTATTGTAGTGAGTCCAGGGGCTCACTTCTGAGCAAAGATACCAAGCAGGCCAGCCCTTCTCCCTACAGTCATGTTTAGCAGCTAAAGTTTGTATGGGCAGAATGGTTCACACCTATATGTAGACTATATTTGAATACTTTTGCTTGTAATCTTCAAACTGGTCTGTCACAATGTAATCTGAACCTTCAAAAGCCTGAAATCTGGAATACAGGTTCTCTCGTGGCGCAGTTGAGTCAGTTTACCAAGTAGACCAGTCTGCTGAGTAGTTCCAGGAGTAAAGTGTCCAGAAACAAAGTATCAGCATCATCAAAATCAACATTGAGTAGATATGGAAGGTGTAAGGGAGACCGCATGCCAGTCAGAACACACAGATAATCCTCTTTGTGAGGAAAAAGAAGAGCAGTGTGTAGGTGAACTAATGAAAGCATGTAATCAGTGTTAATGGATTTTTTAGAAAGGTATATTTAAGTATGGTAACTTAGGAAATTAAGAATTATTTGGCCTTCAGTTTAAGAGGCTGTTACCACGTTCTAACTTGCTAGCATTGGTTTCTAGTTTTTGTGGTTTTGTGGGTTTTTTGCCTTTTTTGTTTTCAATTTAGTAGTGAATGTTATTCTAATATATGCTATTAAGCTAAATGAATTCTGTTCTTCACTTCTGACTAGAGTAGCCTTGTTTAATAAATACACTGAGTGAATCCTAATGGTTTCATGCTGAGAATAATGCTTTATGATTGCAGGGAATGGAACAGAATGTCCAGAGAATAATAAGAGCACTGAATGAATGCCTTGCTGCTCTACCTCAGCAACAGCTTCAAAGAGTCAGTCACATTGGCATTTCAGGACAAATGCATGGAGTTGTATTTTGGAAAAAAGATAAAGGTAACATTAACTCT